TACCCCAAACATAGTCCAAAAATAGTCCCAAAATAGTCAGGGGAGTATTTTTTGAGTTTTTGTTTTGACCTTTCGCGGGTATTTTTTGGGGTATTACTTTTCGTCGAAAATCCTCCTGTAGGGGGGACACGCCCGACATAATGTTAGCGAGGCCGCGGAGTATGTTTTTTTCCGCGCCCCCGCGGGTCGGCAGGCACCACGGCGCGGGCAGGGCCACCCACAGGGGCTACGGCCAGGACCTGGACGGCGACCGGGCTCGTCGGCGCGGCGAGGGGGACAGGGCTCGCAGGCCACTGGATCGATCCTCGCGGAAAGAAGGCAGGAAGAGGAGCCATCCGAGGTTTGCCGACGACCCCGTGGAGCCCGACGAGCTGGAGGAGGAAAGCCATCCGAGGAGCGCCGGTGATCCGGCCCGGACTGGCGAGCAAGACGAGATCGCCGAGTCGGAGGTCGTCAAGAAGCTCCAGGAGGGCAGCCACATGAACCTTGTATTGGAGGAGGTCGAGGAGTTCGCGAGGGCGCTCGGAGTGGACAAGGCAGGGGAGGTGAGTCTCTGGGCGGTGAAGGACGTCCTCACGACACGGCTGGACCCCGTTCTGGAGGAGAGCGAGGCGCTGTCCCTTCTGAGGCCGGCTATGGTGCACTCTGGCGCAAGCGGTGAACTACACATCAAGGACTGCTCTGTTATGCCCGTGGCCCTGCACTGGGCCTTCACGCACGGGGCCTGGGCTCGGCAGCTGAAGAGGTCCCGCCTCGTCGTCGAGGGGGCCAAGTCCGACGTCAACCTTAAGCTTCTACACCACACCGTCGTGAAGGTTACTAGCCGCCATGATGCTTTCATGACGCTGCCTATCACCATCGTCTACATGTGGGTGTTCCTGGCGCTGGTGGTGACGCACCTGAGGATCTGGCCGCGGCAGGTCGGTGAGAAGGCGCTCGAGGACTGGGTGAACGGGCGGGATCCGCGCACGAGCTGCGCGAACAACGTCGACACCATGGAGGCCTTCTGGGAGTGGCTGCTCGGCGAAGAGGACGGCATTGGTGGGGTGATGTTTGCTCCGCGACCTGGCTCCCAGAATTCAAGCTGGAACTACTATACACTGGCCAATAGCCACGTGCTCGTGGGTGACATGAAGATCACCAAGCTCACGTACACTGGTGAAGAAGAGCATGCGTGGTTGTTGAATTCGGATTCTGGCGCCCAAGAACTGCTGTCAGGCTCAGGTTACAAGGGCGCCGCCCAGATGGCCGCATTGTCATTAAAGGATCATCACAACTGGGATGCTTCAGACATTAACGAACTACACCTTAGCTTTGTCACATACAACGAGAAGGCCAAGATGTTCGGCCTGACGAGTGTACAGATAACGTTGTTCGAGTGGGGCGGTGTCCACGTCATGGTCAACGCAGATGTGGTCAGCGTGGACGCCTACCACTCGGCGGGCGTCATCGTGTGCGAAGTGCTTTTTGTCTTGGTGATCTTGTACATGGCATGGGGGGAGTGCAAGGACATGTGGCACGCCCTTCTGCTTGGCTGCGGCGAGTTCATGGACTACTGGCAGTTCTGGAATTGTGTGGACTGGGCCTGCATCGTGCTCGGCGTGTCGCTGATGTGCACCTGGGCCACGTGCCTGGCGGCAATGCAGGCCCAGGGGCTCAATGCGATTCTGGACGCAGACAGCAAGCTTACGGTGGACGTGATGTCGCTCGATGCAGGTTCCGTTGCACATATCATGGACCAGGTCGTCAGCCTGCAGCTGAGGTTCAGATGGTTGCAATTCCTCACGGCAGCGAACACCGTCAGCATCGTGTCGAAGTTCTTCAAAGCTTTCACTTCGAACCCCCGTCTGAAGGTTGTGACTGATACGTTCAGACAGGCCGGGACCGACTTCGTGCACTTCTTCATTATCTTCTTCACGCTTTTTTTGCCCTTCACCGTTATCGGCCATGTGCTCTTCGGGAACGACCTCGCTGAATTCAGCAGCATCGGAAGCAGCTTCAACACCGGAATCACCGTCATGCTGGGCGACTTCGAATGGTACGTCGAAGTCATGGGCACCCGCTCACTCGTCGGAGAGACCGCCCGCCTTCCATCGGGCATCCCGGTCGTCCTCTTGTTAGTCTGGTTCGCATCCTATATGTTCCTGGTGTTCTTGGTGCTGCTCAACATTTTGCTGGCCGTCATCATCAAGCATCAGACGCAGGTGGATGAGATGTTGACGCGCGAGCCCGATGCACCCACGATCTGGGCACAGGTTGCACAGTACATTGATTTCAAGTGGAGGGCCAGGGGCTTCAAATACAGCTTGGAGCATGTGCGGCGCATGTTAGAGAACGACGACGACCCCGCCCATGGAACCGACATGGATGCGGAGGTTACGGTGGCGTCGCTGATGGAGCATTTCAAGGGTATGTCCAAGGAGCAGGCCAACTACCAGATCGCCTGCATGGAGAGGGAGCTGGATAACTGCAAGGCGATGGAGAGTTCGAGGGACGCAGAAACTGATCCGAACCAGGATTTCATGACAGAGATGACCTCGAAGATCGATGCAATCTCCGACGTACTGAACCAGCCCCTCGACAAGGAGTTCTCTTCCATCAGAAAGAAGCTCGGCGAGCTGCTGACGGTCTGCGACGCGCTGCAGCGAGGCCAGAAGACCCTGTGCAGGCGAGTGGACGACCTCGCCCGGACGTCCGTGGTGAGCGACGCCCACGATGGCTCCAGGAAGGAGAGAGGCCATCGCACCCCGTCGCCCCCTCGTGCCCCATCGCGCAGCAGCCGCGACCCGTCGCCTTCGCCCCGCAACACCCCGCCGCGCCACCCCGCCGCCCCGCACCTCCCCGCCGACCCGGCGCCGCTGCAGCGGCGCCCCGCCGCCGCGCCGCGCCCCGCCGCGCCGCCCCGCCACGCGACGCCGCGAGGCACGACGGACGCGCGCTCCACCGCCGCCAGCGCGGACCCCTCGCTGTCGAGGCCGCCCCCCTCGCCCCGCCACCCCGCCGACGAGCGGCGCGACCGCCGCGGCGAGGAGCGCCGCGGCGAGGGCCGCCGCGGCGAGGGCCGCCGCGGCGAGCGCCGTGCGCGGAGCCCGCCGCCGCACCTCGACGACGACCAGGCGGCGAGCCCAGACCGCCCTGCAGAAGTGGCGCGGCCCGCCTAGAGGTGGCACCGCCCCGTCCGCGCCCACGTGGAGGGTGCCTCCGAAGGGCTTAGGCGATCCGTCCTCCTCCTTCTCCTTCTTCTTCTCCTCCTCCTCCTCTTTCTCCTCCACCTCCTCTGACTCCCCTTCCCCCATAGCCATTTTGGATCAAGACGGAGTTACCTCCTGTCCCGACTCCAGAGGCTCGAGGCCGAGGTGGAAGGGCAACCCCTTCTGTCAGGCCTGGCTGCTTCGGCCAGCTTCCATATCCGCCACCGTTGGGTAGCCACTTTCAGTCTCGGGCCCCGCCCCCCCTCGCCTCTATGTCCGCGTGGACAAGGCGGGCCAAGCCCTCTGTCTTGTGCCCCAACCCCGCCTGCCCAGGTTGGACCTGTGCCAGCCGCTGCAACCCGTTTTGCAGCCTCTGCGGCGCCCAGCAACCCCAGCCTGGGAAGGACGAGGGCGCCTGGCGCGGGTGGGGTGTGCAAAAGGACAAGGGCGGGGGGCAAGGGAAAGGCGACTGATGGAGGAGGTGGAGGAGGAGCAACAGGTGGTGAAGGAGTGGCATGGGGCGGAAGCAAGCCCCCGTGGCGCCGTGAGACCATCCCGCCTGCTCCTCAGCCCCAGTCCGACCCTCTCTCCCACTAGTTGCTGATGGCAGAGCACCTCGTCAAGTTCTACAGAGGGTGGGGAGTGAATCCTACTGACACTTGGCCTGCATATTCCCATGAACAAGGGAAATCTGACAAAGAGAAGTTTTTTTCAAATTCGGTCTCCTGAACAGAAGGCTCAGAGTCTCTCGGCCCAGGTCCAGCATCAGAAGAACCTTCTGAACACTACCGTGGAAACGCAAACGCTTGCAGCCTGGGAAATTCAGGCAGCAGAAATGGCCGATATATATATATATATGTATATATGAATCCGCCTCGTTCCAGATCAAAGATTGCACAGCCCAGTTGGAGAGCTTGAACGCCCAGTTAGGTTGCATGACGAGCCAGAAGAAGGATCGGGAGTCGGAGGGAGTATCGCGTTGGATTGCAGGACTGAAGGGAGTATTGTTGACCGAGTTTGTCACTCTCTCTCTCTCTCTCTCTCTCTCCCCAGGGTAGATAGCAGTTGGACTCAGGCTTTCTGGCCTTGGAGGGCATTCTCGCCCAGTTTTGCAAAACGACAAGTGAAGAAACATATCTAATTGGAGCCATGCAGGACCCCCCCTGTTGGAGTGGTAAACAAGATCGCCCAAAAGAATGTCAAGCTGATCCAGGAGGTCTTGGACTCAGATGTGGATGAGGAGATGGTTGGAAGAGGTGAAAAGAGGATTGGTGAGGATATCGCTTGCATCCATGGGAAGATGGACGCCCTGAAATGCACGGCAAGGTGCAAGCTCTCGCTCGAACACAGAGGGCGAAGTCTATGGGCAAAGGCTTCCAGTCATCGGGTTCAGCGTCGTCAGCAGCAGGACCGCAGGGCAGAGGCAAGCAGGGGAAGGGCAGGCTCCCAGCCGCCCCCGCCGCTGCCCCGACCACCGAGCTGCCGGCCCAGCCGCCGCAGGGGGGGGGGGCGCTGTCGCAGGGGCAGATTTAGACATTTGATAAACTTCGGGCCAAGGGTGGGCCCTGAAAGTAGCAACCCTCAGCATTAATTCGTTTGTCACATTCAGGACGTACAATGATCATGAATCTGGCCGTTTTCAGTTCCCTGATGTATCCATTTTTGCGTCTGCAGGAAACGTTGCTGAACTATGATGAAGCAATTCAGTCTGTTATGGAATGGTGCGTTTCCCTTGCCTGGCTTGGCTTCTTTACGATGGCGGCTCCTCATGAGTCTGGGGTGCCTTCTGGTGGTGTTGCAATTTTGATTCGAGCTTGCCTCAACATTGGTGCCAGTCCTTTACCCGCTGGTATTTATGCCGCATAGAATGTGGGCGCTCAGGGTTGAAATCTCTGGGCCGCCCAAGATCTGTCTGGTTTCGATCTACACGCAGACGAATGTAGGCTTGAACAACGCGAACCTAGCGCTCTTGGGGGATATTGCAACGCTTCAGGAACACGTTCAGTTACCGGTGCTCATTGCACGGATTTGAACATGAAAGCTGGAAGTTTGGAGACATCTGAGTTCTTGGTTAGAGCTGATATGGGTGCTGTAATGCCTTTGAAGCCTACCTGCATTAAGCCAAAGGCGAACGCTATCATCGACGACTCTGTGCTCTCTCATGTGCTTGCTGGCATTGTCACCAAGTCGTCTGTTGACTCGATGTGCCCCGTTTCCCCGCCCTGCCCGCTGTCTCTGCATCTGTGGCCAGATGAGCATCGCGCGAAGCCTGTGATGTGCAAGTGTCAGCGCATCCCTCGCGCCAAGCCTCTTGGACCGTCCCTTGAGAATCTCCCTGGGGAAGTTTTAGAACGCCAGGTTTCGGAGCTTGAAGAGGTGATTTCTGTCGTGCAGGACCCCGGCAGTGCCCCCTGTCGTTCTAGTTTCGAGGCTCGTCAAGCGGCGTTGGATGGTGCGCGCGGAGGCTTCGCCGTGGAGCTCGGGCACGCCATCGGCAGGATGACCCTCTGAAGACAGTCTCTCAGAGGGCGCGTCGCGCCAGAATTGTCCACGTCCCTCTCGACATTCATTGTGGAGGCTTGAGGCTGTCTAGGAAGTCGTACCTTGTGCCGTTGCGTTGGGTTGCGAAGTGGGCTCAGACGGTTGCTGCCAGTGTGAATCAGGAAGAGGCAGTTCGAACGTCGGTGGGGTGCTGGGAAGCCTGTCCTTCGGAGATCAGATGTGTGCACACTCTTCTTGGTTTCTTTGAAAGAGCGAAACTTACTTTTCATTCGATGCTGCAGGACCTATGCCAGCATGCCCTAAACAGGAAAGTCGCTGAAAGCATTCTGGGGGCCGTTCTGAAGGACCTGGAGTCCGCCTGGAAGGCTGAAGGTTCAAGGGGTACCCAGAGCTCCCTTAGTCCTGGAGAGAGTGGATAGTCAGTCAAGGCAGCTCTAGTCTCTCTGGGAACCGCGAGTAGACCGAGTGGAAAGACGTCTGGAAGCCTGGGGAGATGCAACAGCGCAGCGGCCAGTGGACTGGGCAGCCAACGCGCATCCTAAGGGCGGAGGCGCATAGACTGGATCAGCTCTGGTTGGGATCCTCTTCTCGCCCCGCCCCGTGGGAAGTAGAGCCGAAGGATGGGATTGCCGTGCCTCTTGCCACGTCGGAAGATAGGAGAAAAGTTTCTTCGGCGCTCAGTGCAACAATTCCCAGACCTATGATGGCTTTCACCCCCGATATTATCTGATGTGCTCGGACCAGCAGTTAGATTTTTTGCCGGGCTCTTCAGGTGCATTGAGCAGCGCGATTAGTTCCCCTCGGTTTTGCAGACTGCGGTCGCCGTGCTTATTCCGGAACACAAGCCAGGCCAGGTCAAGCTGCGTGGCCTTGGACTTTGCGCGTCGCTGTGTCGGGTATTCGGCAGGCTTCGTCAGGTCGTAGCCCGGTCGTGGGAGCGTTCGCATCGACTTAGTTGCCTCTGTCATCGGAATGGTGTCTCAATATTGGAACTCGTTTTGTGCAAACTTTTCGCGCAGAATCGGCTGGGCTCGACTAGCCAGAAGGTTCGCACCTCGTGTGTTTTGTACAACATGAGAAGTTACTATGATCACATTGACCTCTCTCTGCTTTGGGCTAGAGAGGATGCCGCAGGGCTTGACTTGCAGGTGTTAGCAGTGGTGTGCAACATGTATCGTGCAAAGAGATTCTTTCTGCTTGACGGGTGCGCTTTGGAGTCCTTGTTCCCTATGCGAGGGATTTTGGCAGGCTGCCCCTTCGCGGCGTTCCTTGTGCAGGTTTCGTCTCTCGACCCAGTGGTCAGTCTTTGCAGAGGGGCAGTTGGTGCCGGCCTGTGTCTCTTCATTGATGACTGGCTGATTTTGAGCCGGGATTCGGGCCCCAGGAGTCTTGTAAACCATCCAGGATGAGCTGAAGTGCGAAGTCGCAATCTCGAAATCCGCTGTGGTTGCTTCCTCTGATTGGTTTCGCCGTTTCGTCAGGACTTGGCAAAGGTCATGCGCAAGCGTGTCGCGGCGAAAGATCGCTTGGCAGCCAACCTAGGAGTTGGCGCCGCTAGGGGGCAGCTCTGATGCAGGAAGGGGGCCACTTCTCCGCTAAAGGTTCGCATGGAAAGCTCCGACGCCGCAAGAGACGATTGGCTGCAGTGTGGATGGGGGGGGGGGGCGGGCGCAGACATGCAGCGGCTGCCCCTTAGCGGTCTCCAGCAGTTTGGGCACGGCGGGGCTGAGGTTGCGGGGTTGGGCACGAGTGTCTCAGCGCAGCCTTCCTTCTGGCAGTCTGTGGGGAGCCCGTGTCCATCCAGGTCCATGACCATGGCGCTCCTCACCCGCCAGGGCCCCGCATGTCGCCTGGTGCTGGGGCCCGCGATCACCTGGGCAAAAACCTGCCCCGGAAGCCACGGCGCGTCCTGGTTTCGAACTCTCGCTGCCGCGGCTGAGAGCGCTCGCCGTGCCCATTTTGGAACATCCGCCTCGGACTTGGAACCGGTGGAACCAGGTAAGGGGACCCTTTCGGGCAGCGGTAGTTTCCCTTCAGAGTGTGTCCTGGAAGTTCATCGACCCCTTTGTCTGGGAGGACCACCTGGGCCAGGAAGTAGTTCTTACCTTGACTCCCCCTGCTAAAGTGCCGCGTGATCTTCGGGCTGCTTGGATGTAGATGTTGTCTTTGAAGGCTGCTTTGAAGCTGGGCCACCCCAGTGATATCTGGGACGTCGCAGTGTGCAAGCAGCTTTACAATCCTAGCAGCCCGAACGCGCCATGCTTCAGGCTTTCATCGCTCAGAGCTTGTGGTCCATGTGGAGACTGGCCCAGTTGGGCTACATGGTGAAAGATTTATCTTGACCCCTGTGTCCCCGCCCTTTGGATGACCTCCATCATCGTATTTTTGGTTGTCAAACTACGCGAGCTGTTAGGGATGAGTTCCTTGAGGTGAGGTCTCTGGAATGATCTGCAGGGGAGATGAGAATTACCCTCTCGTGCTTGGTTTTCAGCTGGTGCCCGAGCGACATCTGCGACCACCTGGAGGTTCTGGGCACGAGGATTGACTTT